CCCCCCCCCCCCCCCCCCCCCGTCCCATTCCCCAAGCCGCAGCCTGGCTCTCCCAGCTCCCCATGGACCCTGGGTGTGGGGTGGGCCCATGTGCCCATCCCCCTAGAGCCAGGGCAGGGCTATAGGCTTATCCCCGGGCTCGCCCATCCTGGATCCCAACCCCTGCCAAGACCCGGCTGCCCCGGGGAGACGGCTGCTCCCTACTGGCTGCCCCAGGGCTCTTCACTTGCTGGCCCCTCTGTGGGTGCCTGGCCTTGGGGATGCCATCAGGGGCCCATGCTGATCAGCTGCGGCTCCCACTGGCAGAGGGCACAGGCGGGCTCTGCCTGTCTCTCCCTGCCCTGTCCGGGCTCTAGGGGCTGCAGGGGAAAGCTGCCAACAACAGACGGGGCCCCGGGGCCGGTCCCCTGGGCCAGAGAGTCAGTCCTCTGCCCCCGCGAGCTGTGCAGTGGGCCTGTGCAGGGCTCCCCTCTGCCAGCCAGCCAGCACCACCCCCCAGGCTGCCCACTGGCCAGCCCCCCTCAGCGCCGCGCCCCGCGGGAGCAGACAGCTGCTGAGCTAGGCCTGGCCTGTGCTGGGTACCGGGGGCGTGGCTGGACCTGCCCTGGGCTGGCAGCTCGCAGCCCCTCCCCAGGCAATGCTGGGTGCAGCTGATGGTGCCCGGGGCTTGGGCAGGGCCTGCTGGGGCCTCCCTTTTGTTGCTGTCGGGGTGAGTCAGTCGTGCCCGCCGGAGGTTTGGGGGCCCCCAGTCCGTGCGTCCGGCAGCAGGAGGCTCCCTGCTCCCCCAGCAACTCAGTGGCCTGCTCCTCTCCCTGCAGGTGCTGAAGGCCCATGTGGACAAAGCCCCCCAGATCACGCCGGAGTTCGGGGAGCAGATAGTGCTCTGCTGTCTGACTGGTCTGGCCGAGTTCCTGCAGAGGTACGCCGGGAGGGGAGATGGGGGGAGGCTACACCAGGGCCCTGTTCTGGGGGGGTCACGTGGGACTCATGGGGCGGGGGGACAGCAGGTGGAAGGGCTTCCCGGTGGGGGGGAATCGGGGTGGGTTCCCAGCCGCCACCACCACCCTGGCTCCCAGCCACACACACACACCCCCAGCGCGGCCAGCCCCCCTGGGAGACCCGTGGGCTGTGCGGAGCGATGGGCCCTGTTAATAATACTGCGTGAATTGCCAGTCGGTCAGAGGGTCCCTAGGTCCTGGCCCCAGCATCAGGCACTGCAGGGCTCAAACCCAGGAGCTGTCTCTTGGCGAGAGCCCGGGGCGCGGGACCCGGGCACTCACGCTGAGCACGCAGCAAAGCCTGGGGGACTTTCACTGGTCTCGGCGAAGAAGCCAGGAGGGCTTCAAGCCACGTGACCCGGTCAAAGCCCCCGGCCCAGCCCGCAGCACTAGCCCTGGGCCGAAGCGCTTCCTGGGGGCCCTGGTGGTGACAGGCAGCAGCCGGCCCTGTCTCTGGCGTGCCGATGGCTCTGATGGGCCCAGCCGGGTTGCAGGGTCAGATGGGGGCTACCCAGCTGATGACTGAAGACCCCGCTCCGCATGGTGGTTTCCCGTTAGCGATAGGCTAGTGCTCAAATCCAGCCGTTTCCCCAGCGTAGGAGGGAGGTGCCCTTCTCCTGCAGGGTAACAGATTCATCCGTGTCCAGGCCCGTTTAGCTCAGCCCCGGCACGCCCTGCTCGGCCCATGGACGGTCGTTACTCCCCTGTCCCTGCGGTGGTGCCGTCTCCCACTGAGGTTCCCCAACCCTCGGGGGAGCCGTCAGGCCGTCTGTCCAGCCCCCTGCCCAGGCTAGCATCTCCCAGGCCTGCAGATTTCCTGCCTTAGGGCTGAAGACAAGGAAGGCCAAGCCAGCCCCATGGGCTACAGCCCTCGGCTCAGGTTTCTCTCCCCTCCCCATGCTGGGCGGGGTTTGGTCTGGGGGAGGAGGGGGCCTAGGAGGTGACAGCTGAGCGGAGGAGGGGGGTGCGGGTCCCTCCCCTGGGGTCCGTCAGAGAGAGCACTGTGGGACATGTGCCTGGCAGTACAAGGATGCCCTTCCTGGGCAGGGAGGGGTAGGGATCCCCCCCCAGGGCTGTCCCTGGTATAGGGGGTGGGGATCCCCCCAGAGCCTCAGGACACCCCTTCAGCACGTGCCATCTCTCCCTTTTGCAGCTTTCAGAGCAAGGTGGAGCAGTTCCACGAGGGGCCCGGCAAGAGCGGCCCCCCCACCGACAGCTATGTGGGCAGGACCATCGCGCTCGTCAACTGCTGCCCCCCCTTCAGGTGCAGGGCCCCCATACCTTTTGCCTGCCCAGGGCTGGGGGGTGGCAGACCTGGGTGCTGGGGTGAGCCGGCCCATCCCCCTGCCCGAGTCCAGGGGCCTACAGAGCCTGTAGCAGGCACCCTGCGTCCCCTGGTGTGGCTGTGCCTGCCCCCAAGCCCCGCATTGGGTCCCTTGTGGCCAAGTTCCT